GGGCATCCCTGACCATTCCTATCCTGTCTCACTTCCTGCAGAGATGCTAGTAATGGTCTCACACCTTCCCCATAGCCCTGCTGCTCCTGGCTCCTCTAGGGCTGAAATTACCTTCATCCACCAGAACTGGCTCTTTTGGTGGCCTGGCACTGCCCTCCATCTGCAGCTGCTGCTTGGCACCCAGTCCCCTGCAAGGCTCTCTCAAATCCCCTGCCAGCCCTCAGCCCAGCTGCGTGCTGCTGCTGCTGGAATCAAACCCAGTGTCCTCTGCCAGCACAAGGGATGCCTCAGGGGGCTGGCATGGTTTGACTCTGGGGACAGATTGGGCAATAGAGCTGGAGCTGTTCTAAGGGCACTGCTGATAGGGAGTTTGCTGGGCACTTGCAGCAAGGGGACCCACAGGCAAGCATGGCACTGAAGTGGCTGGGGAAGGGATGCTGGGAAAAAGGCACTGTATCTAAGTGGGGGCTGAACTGACCCAGCAGTGTGGGGCATGGATGCTACCCTTCCTGGCATGAATGCACACCCTTCCCTGGGGAAGATGGAGGTGTTATGGAGTGCTCTGGATGGGGGCTGGTGTGGGGAATATACCGTGTGCATGACAGCAAAGCTGCCCCTGGAGGGTTTTTCTGGCCTTGGTCCAGTTTCTCGCGGGCAAACACCCAACAACAGTGACTGGTACCAAATGACCCCATGGTGTCAGGCTCACCAGATGTTGGCACCCCATGGATGGTGCCCAGTCAAACTACATCAACTCTAGGCACTCAGAGGTGCAGGTTGAAGACTCAGGGGTGCTCCACCTTCAATCTACAGCTGCAGCCCAGCAGGGAGTCTTGGGACCAGGGAGCACCGGCACTGCCCCTACTAAATGTGGCACATGAGGATTTGACCACAGGGGCTGTCTGGACCAGGGTGCTTGCTTTTCAGGCTGGATGAAGCAGTTTTCCCAGCACTGTGTTACATGGGGGAATGGGGCATCACCAGCTACCAAGGGCAAGAGAGGTCTTCACTTTGCAGAATCAGAGCACTCCCAGCCCTAAGAGCGCTGCATACCCCTGGGAGCTTGCTGGGACAGTTAGGTACATCCCTCTATCTGCCACTGGGGCTGAGGAGTGTCCTGCTACTCAGGTCAGCAGGCCCTAGTCTGCACCCATCCAGGGCCATTCATGTCCCCATCTGTTCCCTGCATGCATGTGGGGCACAACTGGGCACTCTGGACACCCTGTCCCATCCAAAGGTCATGGATTTTCAGATCCCAAATGTCCTGCTGGATCAGACGGAGCCACGACTAACCCCAGCCTCCTGCCCCAGATCCAAACCCCTCTGCACACTTGGCCTGGCTCTCAGACTAAACCAGAAGACATTTCATGTGCAGTGACACTGACCCCCTGGCCAAGCCAGCCCTCCAGACTAACCCATCACCACTGTTCTGACAGTCTGCTCTGCACTGACCTGCCACTCCTCTCCAGACCTAAACACTGCTCAGCCCTCTGAGCCCAACTTTCCCCCCAAAGCCTCCCCCGACCAGCCATTATGCAACTTACCCAAACCCAGCATGGCCCATAGGCCCCCTTCTTGCCTGCCTTGTTTCCCCTGCCCTGCCCTGTACTCTGCTCCAGATCATGCGTGGGACCTCAGAACCTCATGCCTCAAACCCTCCCTCAGCAGCACCCATGGCTATGAACACAGAGGGAACTGGCCCAGGATCTGAATCATGGAAATCCAAAGAATATGAGCAGTGGGAGATCTCCCTGCACCTCGGAAGCTGTACTAGAGCCACTGTCTGGTTCTGGAGCAGCTGATCAATGGGGGGAGAAAGGGAAAGGGGTCCAGGAGGGCATCCTGGAACAATCAGCTGGGAATTGAGCCCCTCCCTTATCATTGCTCAGGGGATGGATCTGAAAGCCAGGGGAAACAGGATAGCTAAGGAAGGATTCTGAGAGGACAGTCCTTTCCTGCAGGGCTGCCAACTCCTGGTTTGGAGGGGGCTTGGGGTGATATTTCTGTAGTGCTGCCATTACAGCTTCATGCACAGAGCTTTGGGAAGCACAATATTCTGAGTAGCAACCAGCAAAAAGCTGGGTTCTGGTTTGCAGGAAATGTCACCTTTTCTAAATTTGGTTTCAGCATGAAAATGTCTCCTCAACCAGAACCCACACTTCAGGTCATCCCCTGGACCCAGCAGCTGCTGGGTGAAATTGACATTCTGATGAGTTCTGTGGCTAAGAGCACCTGTGAAATTGACATTCTTGTCAATTTCACAGACTTGCTGCAGGGGGCTCTGGGATGCCCAGCATCAGGGCAGACAGCATGTGGGGCTTTGTAACCTGGCAGCTTCTGCTGGAAATTTGCCTTTGATTAGAAATTGTCCAGGCAGGTCAAAGGCTGAGCATCCATTGGAGACAAGCAGCACAGACAGGCTGCAGCATCAGATTTGATGTTAGGGCAGAAAAATGGCATGTTGAAGAGCCACAAAGTATCTGCATGGCTTATCTCAGCAAAAAGCCACTTATTCTCCCCACCACCACCCCAGGAGCCCCAAGTACTCACCAGCAGCAGTTCAGCCATGGTCACATGGACCAATTCTTGCTCCAGAACAGGCAGCAACTTTGAGATGTTTAAGTTAAAAAAGGGAGAAAATAATGCTCCCTCTCAGCATTTAGGACACGCTGCTGTAGCCACTGGAGCAGATGGCAAAGCTTGCATTGGCTTCAGCAAGGTCCTGAACTGGAAAGCTGCAGATGATAGGGGCGTGACTCCCAACCAGCCCATGTTTGCCATAAACTTCAACACAACTGGACCCTTGTGGATAGGTGAATCTTCCAGCTAGTTCTGCAGAGTTCATCTGAGCTGCCAGGGGCCAGGTGGGTGAGTTCATCTGGACACTGCTCCAACTTTGAAGTAGCAATTAATTTGCAAGCTGGCTCCTGAGGGGCTTGAAATGTCAGTGCCTCCTTGGCCACTTTCCAAGGCTGCCTGTGGATTTGTAGCCCTGCAGAGACCCTTGGAATGCATTTGATCCTTAATTGTGAAAGTCCCCTTGGAGGAGCAGCCCAGATGAGTTTCCAGAAAAATTAAAGTTGTGTAACCTGGGCAGGGGTCTCCAACCAGCCCTGGATGCCTGAGGCCAGGACTGGCTCAGCCCAGGATGTGCCAGGGCAGCCTAGGGGCAGTCAGAAGAGAGTGTGTAGAAATATAGATACAGCAGCAGCACAGCTGGATTTTTTTTTTAATTTCATGTCTCAAGTTAAATTAGTCAAATCAGTTCCAGATTCCATTGACCAAGCAGAGCTCAGTCATTCAGGTCCATGTGATGTTACCACCAGCAAGTATTCTGCCTCCTAGACTCTTCAGCCTGGGGCTTCAGATACTCCCAGATCTGTGGCAGGCATCCTACATGCAAGCCCCAAGCCTAGAGGCTTTGGGGTTCAGATGCCCCTGAGTCTTGCTTGCCCTCAGCCAAAAGGCCAAAGGAGCAAGCTAAGGGGAAATCCCCCATCTCCATGAAATTGTGTGTAGCTGAGATCCTCCAGTTGGGAGGCTGTAGTAGACTCTTGTAGGGGTTTCTGCCCACAGTGCAATAGACAAGTCTCCACCCTCAACTATACAAAGCCATTTAAGGTTAGGGAGAAGTGATCTCCCTTTCTAGGTACAACAAATCTAAAGTGAGGATTGAGGACACACACACGCACACATATGCCCTGAGTTCATTGCCATGGGTGCCCAGGGACGGCCAGGTCAGATCAGGCAGGGGTTCAGCAGGGTTAGCATGCTGTCTCCACCAGGACCCAGCATGAGCTGACTCAGAGTAGTGGAGGAAACCTCCTGACCCCGCAGAAGCTAATGACTGGTTTATGCCCAGAAGCATGAGCTGGAACCTCCTTTACATGCGTGCCTCTCGTTCTAGAGCCTCTGGGTATCCTGGCTGCTTAGGAAGTGCCCAGTCCCTCAGTGACCCTTGCCTAATGTGAGGTCTTGGCAGCCTGCTGCACCTATGCATTTCCTGGGCAGTGGGTGCCTGGTCTGGAAGGGGTTTCCTCTCCTTGCTGAGGGATTGCCCTCCTGGAGACCCCTTGGTTTTATACTGATGCTTACAGTCACTCTTCTCCAGACTTCATAGCCTTTATTCAGGGGTGTCAAACTGGTTTGCTCTCTCTATCCCCACAAGCTGGATTCTGACTGTGGGGGCTTTCTCATGGGCTGGATCTGGATGTGGTGATGGGGCATGCAATGCCAGGTAGCTGTGGGGGTTAATGCAGCCATTGCCCCACAACTGCCAATGTGTCCCAATGGGGCTCTGTACCTTGGATTTTGGCAGTGCCACTCCCCCCCTCCCCCAATTCCCACCTCTTCTAGGAGCATGGCAGGCAAGGTGGCATGGCTTAATGTGCTGAATCCAGTGCATGGGCCATATGTTTGACGCCCCTCCTTTATAACTCAGTCTTTTCTCTAGTCCCCCTTTACTCACCTCCCAGACTTCAGATGGGATCTGGAGCCAGGTACCTGTGGGTTACCAGTTTCACTCCAGCCTAGGTTGATTACTTAATGCTAAATAGCCTTGGTCAAACTAGATAGCTTGTTGTTCACTGGTCCCTGAGGTGGGGGTCTACACCCCATTCTAAGAGCTTCAGCCATATAGTGCTCCCCCAGCGCAGCAGGACAGATGCACACAATGTAGCTGAACTGTCCTAGCCAGCCAGAGCTCATGTCTCTTGGAAGGTCTGGCTATGGTCCTGAACATCTCTAAAGGTGGCATACACAGGTGGATAGACAAGGTCACAGTGCATTGATTTCTGTAGCTCTGAGAAGGCTCACCAGGCTGGCTTGTAATTCCTTTTCTGGCCTTGCTCTTTCCTATGCCACCTCCTGAATCTCTCTGGCCTTTGTTGGCTTGAAGGACTAGCACCACAGAATGCAGGCAAGGTTCTTTGGGTAGATGTGATATCTAAATAGTTTAGCTGGTCTAATAAAAGATATCACATCTATCCAAAGAACCTTACCTGAGTACGTCCTTAGGCCAACACGGCTACAGCCAACAACGCTAGAACCACAGAACTGCTCTTAAATGGGATTCTGTGGATGCCCAGAAAGGTGACGTTTTCTCACCATCCCCAGGGTCATTTGGGGTCAGAATCAGTTGTAAGGCTTTCTCCTTGCTCATTTACAATTCTTCTACATTCTGTTCCTCCCACTTTTTCCACAGAGGAGAGAAGACGTACCTGTGAAGAAGATGGTGATGGGTTTATTTGCTTCTAGAAGGCGGTGACAAGTGGTTATTGCTGTCCAGGTGCTGGGAAATTGGAATCAGCTGTCGGGTGCAATGGCAAACAGAACTGGGTTCAATGCTACTCAGGGGCTAGGCCCTTTTTCAGCAGCTGAGGTTTCCACATTCCAGGAGGCTGTCGGCCTCTTCTTCATGGTCCTGCTGAATGTCATAGCCCTGGTTGCCAACATGGCTGTGATGGTAGTTATCCTCAAGACCCCTCTCCTGAGGAAGTTTGTCTTCGTCTGCCATCTCTGCCTGGTAGATCTGTTGTCTGCCATTTTCCTGATGCCACTGGGGATCATTTCCAGCTCCTCATGCTTCAACAGGGTGATCTATAGCATTGCAGAGTGCCAGACCCTGATCTTTTTGAATATCTGCTTCATCAGCGCCTCCATTCTCACCATCTCAGTCATCAGTGTAGAGAGGTATTACTACATTGTCCACCCAATGAGGTATGAGGTCAAAATGACCATTGGGCTGGCAGTCACTGTGGTGGTCTTCATCTGGATTAAATCTGTCCTGATCACAGTCTTGGCTTTGGTGGGATGGCCCCAAGACAATGGGGCCACCAGTGCCAGTAAGTGCACTGTGTACTGGAGCCCTGGAGCCCACAAGAAGATCTTTGTCATTGTCTTCAGTACCCTCTGCTTTATCGTGCCCACCTTCATTATCTTTGCTGTCTACTGCAGCATCTACAGAGTGGCCCGGATTGCTTCCCTGAAGCATGCCCCTGTCCCTTCTTGGACGGCCACTCCCAGGCAACGATCAGATTCCATTAACAGCCAAGTGACTATCATCACGACCAGAAACCTGCCTCCCCGGCTGTCCCCAGAGCGGGTGTTTGGAGGGAGAAAGGCTGCCTTGACCTTAGTACTCATTGTGGGCCAATTCCTGTGTTGCTGGCTGCCATTCTTCTCCTTTCACTTACACTGCTCTGTTAACTCAGTCACTCCTGCCGGGGGCCCTGGAGAGATTGTTGTTACCTGGCTTGCCTACTCTTCTTTTGCCATCAACCCCTTCTTCTATGGGCTACTGAACCGTCAGATACGGGAAGAGCTGTCCAGACTGGGGAGGAACTGCCTCAACAGATCCCTGACCCAGGACCTCTGTCTCTCTAGTCCTGAGGAGTCTATCCATGAGAACTTCCTTCAGTTCCTACAAAGGACTGGCTGCACACTGGAGACCCAGTCCAGCTACATCAACTCCAGCCCCAGGAACACGGTGGACCAGACCATGATGGGCTTCAGAATTCCAGGTCAAATCCCAGAAGAAACCAACTGAGAAGGGACAGGGGTTAGGGTGGATATCAGGTCACTGTGGTCTGCATCCTGGCTGCTGCAGCAAGGAGGATTGATGTGGGGTTTCAGCTCACGGGAAGGCCTGACTGGCCATTTTCTGATCTGGTGAAGGGTGATGCATTTGAGAGGATTTATCTTCTTGAGCATGGGAGGGTAAAGCTAACTCGGCAATGCTGTTCCACAGGGGGGTAAGGAAAACCAACAGGAGGGTGCAAGGAAGAGGGATGGGTGTTTATGAGAGCTAATCCTGTTCTTCTCCAAGCGCTTTTCATCATGCACTCCAGATGCAGCTTTTGAGCTTTTGGAGAGCTCCTGCCACAACCTTGTCTTCTAGATGGGTTGTCAGGGAAATCAAGAGGTCACCAGAGGTCACCTAATGAGTCAGTGCCTTGGATAGTTGTGAGAGGGGGAGAAGGTCTGTGGGTCCCTTCTGTCCCCTTCTCCCTTGTTTCAGTCTTGTAGATCACCGTGCCTCCCTCTGATCTACAGATCAGCAATTCCAGGAGCAGGGATGGGCAGGCAGCTCTAATGAGGTCTAGTTGTGAGTGAGGGGTAGCCAGGCCCTATCTGTTCTTGTGGAGTGAGGGTTTCAGTGTGGATTCACTTTCTTGACCCCAGAGCTGTGCCTGCCCATGGGATCAGAGAATGTGCCATCAAAGGGACTTCAATAGGCAGCCATCTGAGACACTTGTTCTGGGCAAGCAGAGCTCTGTTCGAAAGCCTGTGAGGTCTGAAACAGGACAGGTGAAGCTGCTGTGCCAAGCTGTGGTGGGAGCCAGTGGAAAGCAGCAGGGAGCCAGTTCCTGCCTGCCTAGGGGCACCTCATGCACATTCAGCCTAATCCAAAGTGAAAGCAGCCTCTGGAATGACTTGATGAGACAAATGCAGGTTGCCATGGAGCGCAGAAGGGACGGTGTCCTTATGGTGGGGGCCAGATTCATCTGTGGGGTAATGCCCCTAGTTTCAGGGACCATAGGAGGCTTGCCATGTTTCAGGGTGCTAGGTAGTAACAGATGAGGATCATGGCAGGGGTAATACCTGGCCTGCAGCCATCACAATCAAATCACACACCAGCAAGGAGTTCGGTGCCAGGCTCAGAGCCCACTGCAGTACAAAGGTTAATGCTTTTCTCTATAGAGACAACCAGCCCTAAATACCGGGTGCCGGTGAGTGGGGATTTCCCCTGCCCACACAGCAGGACTTGCCTGAGGTTACATGTAATAGGTTTTTAATTAACTGCTAATGTATTTTTTAAAGAGCGATTTTAACCGATTTCTATTAATAGACTTGATCACAGAGCTTGGAGCCATGGCTTGGTTTTGCTTGACAGAGGCTGCTTCCATGCGATGTTTCACAATCTCTCCACCTGGCCACACCAGGGAATGGGCCTGCTTGTTGACAGATCTGACTACAGAGCTGCAGAGGGTGTTTCTGGGGTAAAGGGTCTCCAGTAGTAGAAATGAGGAAGCCATGACAGATGCTGCTCGCTGTTGAGTTGTCACATATAGCCCAAACTCTTCACTGGATTGGGTTTTGCCAAGATCCCCTTGTCTTCCTGAAATGGGAGACTAGGTTGCTTTGGGAATTCAAGTTGTAAAGCACCTGTAATGCCACATTGTCCATTTCTCCTACCTTAGCCATTGAGAAGGCCCCATTCTCCACTCTCCACATGCAAAGGAGGTGTAACATGCCACTGCATAACCATGATGGTAAATGGTTAGATACCTTCCCTACCCTGATGTTCAGGTGTTCCCAACATGTGTGCAACAGTGCAAGTGATTTTACCTGACCAGCTTGGAGCCTTCTGTGTGACTGAGGCTGGACTATCTCCAGGTATTTTGCAAAGAGAGAAATTAAGCTAGACAGCCCTCCCATGTGACACAAGCCTGTATCATCATCCTAGTTTTATATGCAGCACGGTGAAATGATTCACCCAGCATCAGTGGCAGAAGACTTTGGCTCCAAAATCTCACCTCCTCTGGGGCATTGTAACTGCTGGTGCAACTGCCAGCATCAGCCCTAGGATAGCCAGGCAATGCTGGTGTAAGACTATGTCTGCATGTGGATACAAGCTGAGCTAAAGCCACACAGCTCCCAGCCCCAGTTCACCCTGGTGCAGTGTGTCCATGCTGGGAGTGGGCATTTGGGCAGCATAATTAGTGCTGCTGGAACCTCCTAGACCTCAGCCAGACCTTCGTCCTGATCCTCAGCACAGACACTGTCCATCCTCCCCTATCAGGAGCTATGTGTGTTGTGTGGGGTTGTTCACCATATCCTGGAACCTCCCCATGGGTCCATGGAAGGGGAGCAGGGGGAAGACTACCTCCCCCTGTGCTCTCCTGCAGCAGAAGGTATCCTCCAGATCTTATCACACCAGGAACTGAGTCCCAGGGCATGGGTGGTGAGTCATAGCCCGTGTTTACTGATACAAATGGACACACTACCAGCCCTGGGGAGTGAGCTGAACTCGGTTGTGCCTCATGAACCCCCAGCACGGCTCTGGCTCCAGGATCCCACTGAGGGATGAGGTGTACTGGATGAAGTGGAAAGGCTCAAGAGCAGAGGGGCCAGCTCCTGCCACAGTTTAAAAATTACCCTTGCCCCTGGATCACTGATGGGTGGAGAATAAGGGCCTTGGGCTGGCAGCTGGGATGGGGCCTGTGGGACCAGGAGGGAATGGAGCTGGCTACCTATCACCCACTTAGAAAACCCAGCCTGGAGGATTTTATACCAACCGCTTATTATTTTTTTTGCCTGGTGACACATCAGAGGGGCTTTAGAACATGAGGTGCCGTACTATGTCTGACCATCGGCCCATTAGTCCAGGGCCCTATCTCTTTTCTCATGTGAAGGGGAAGAGTACATGAGCATGCATCACCAGAGGACGCATGTCCTGATCACAAAGGCCTCCCTGCCATTCCCAGGCACTGTCCTGATGGACAACCACTCCCATTCCCCAGCCACGACCGTAGCCCCCAAGTAGAGCCTCCTTGGTCTTCATGTGCCTCTTGCTCCCTCTCTGTTGTCTCCAAACCCTCCAGCCCTCATCTGAGTCCAGCAGGCCAGATGCCACCCTCCATCCAGTCCATGGCTTTTGACACTTGTGTGGAGGCAGAAAGTAGGACATCCCAGCCAGGTAGGTGCAAGCTGCCCATGGCACGTGTGTGGGAAGCTCCCTGGCTCACACTGAACCTGGGGTTCCCCTGCCATGGCCCCTGGTCTATTCCATGGAGAGCAGACCGCTTTACCTCCCCCCTGCTTGGGACGTAGCCCCCACCTGCTGGCTGCCGGGTCCCTCCCTGTTCTGTGGAGAGAGCGAGCAGCCTTTACACTGTAGGACGGGGGGTCCAGAGAGCGGCGGTGGTCGGGGTGGGGAGTGATCCATGAGGTCAAATGGCCTCTCTCGAGCTCTGACAATGTCCCCTGAACTGGCCAGTTGTGGGTACCCCAAACCCCAGCTGGCTCTGGGAGTAAGGAAGAAACCTGCTCTTTGCAGTGGCAGCCAGCACTGGCCCCAAGCCCCACAGTCCCTACCTGGAGCATGTGGCAGGAGGCAAGGGAAAGGTCGCATTGCCCATTCACGTAGCAACAGGCTGTGCTGGAGGCAGCCATCTCAGCCTCCGGCTGGCTCCTCTATTGTACCAAATGCTGTTGATAAAGCAGCTGCATTCTCCCTCTTATCTGCTGGCCTCTGCCCCCCCCTCCCTCCCTCCCTGCATCACGCTGCAGCCTGGGCCTCTCTGCACAACCACAGCACCTGGCTCGCTCAGCCCATCTCCTGCTAGACCAGGGAGCTCCTGCCCCTAGATGGGTGTTGCTGAAGTTTGGATTGAATCAATGTTGCGGGGAGGGGAGAAGAGGGAAGAGAGATCCCCCTTTCCAATATACAGCATGCTCACGGGGGAGAGGGTGAAGGGCCGACCACACCTCACAAAGAGGCCACCAGCACAGAAGGGGTTAAATGCAAACCCTTGCCTTTGTGTCTTCCTCCATTCCTGCCACCCACCTTCCTGAGCAGTGACCATCCCAAACTGGTCCAGGTCCCCATGGGCTCTGGGATGAAGGTGACTTTGCTGAGGGCCACAGGGCCCTGCCCCCTTGGGACAGGCCGTTTGCTATGTTAATTCAAGGGAGAACAGCAACACCCAGCTGGCTGGCTGCCACTGTCTCTCCAGGGGCCTTTACCCAGCTGGGTGCCCATTTCGTGGCCATTGAGGCCCCACCTCTAATACCAGGGCCATTGCAGCAGCTACTTTGCCAGGCAGCAGACTGCTGGAGCAAGCCTGTCTTGGGGGCACTGCCCCCAGTTGGTGTGGTTATAAGTGAATGGTGGCTGCTGTGGCAATGGCTCTTGGAAGCTTTTTGTCAGGCAAGTCAGAAGTTTGGGACATTTTTGATGATCCCAACCACAACATCGGCCAATGCCCTGCCAGGCGCTCTGCTGGAGGGGGGTGCACATTCCAGCTAGTGCCCTTCCTTGGGCTCCTCGCTCTGCCTCACATCCTGGTCAGGGGTGAGCAGGGGGTCATGTCTGACCAGGATCTAGTGCATGATGAAAGCTGGAGGCACAAAGCCTAGTGGATGAGGCTGCACTGCCCAATCTCATGTTCGACACAGGCATGGCACTCAGGGAAGGGCAGCACCTGTTGTCTGCTAAGCAGCCACCCCTCAGCTTCCCAAAGCAGGCTTTGCCCAGCCCAGGAGCTGAGCTGCTGGTCATCGGGAACTGAGGCCTCCCTCTCCTGCCCCTACCCAGCTCCTGACAACCTCTTGCTGGTTGCAAGTCCCCTCCCAGAACCAGCAGAATCCTCATCCCAGGGTTGCTGAGGATTGTCAGGAACCAGGGCAGCAGGCAGGCTGAATTGCCCCCAGCTGAGCCTGGTTTCCCATGCAGGCCTGGCTGCCAGGGGCCTAACTGTCCCAGCTGGCTCCTCTTGCATGCATGGACATGGCTTCCTGCTTGTAGGGAGCAGCAAGTTCAGTGCCCAGCAGGCTGGCCTCCCTGTCTGGCCTTTGGTTGCTGGGTCCTCGAGCTCAGCTTCCTGAGCCCTGCCTGCTGGTTCATGCTTTCCCAGTCCCTGGATTCTGCTTGTTTGTTCCCGGGTTCCTGTTCTCTGGGTCCTGCTTCCTGACTTCTTTGCCAGCTCCTTGACCCCTTGAGCTTCCCCACTCCAGTCCAGAGCCCAGCTCCTGGCTCATCTTGTAATCACTCATGTCCCAGTCCCCTACTCCTACAGTTACAGCAGCCTGCTCCAGCTCCTATGGCTCCAGTCCTGCTCCCTGCCCCTTGTTCCTGACCCCAGCTGGCTCATGGTCTACTCAGGCTGATCGCCTACATCCCAGTCCCTTCCTGACCTTAGCCTCCTGACCCTCCTGCTCTTGACTCTAGCTGGGACCCATGCCACACACCCTTGTCTGTCCTGATTCTCCGGGCTGTGATTCTTTGGGCTCAAGCCCTGACCACCTGTAGCAGTCATACCCTGAGAAGGAACAAACCCTTGCACACAGTCTCTTTTCCCAACATTTCTTGCAGTGAAGCCCTCAGGTCCCATAAACCCCTTGGACTGCAAGCCACAGAAGACTGGTTCTGGGATGAACTGGCCTTTTCCCAGTATTACTAACCCACGGCATTCAAGAATCAGGCCTCAACATTCATGACATTGCTTTAAAAACAGTTTCAAAAGCAGTAGCTTTGGGCTCTTTTTAGTTGCTTTCTTCTGGCTTTGGCATCTGGAGGTGGGATCTGAAACATGGTCTCAAGCTTTTCTCCATAACAGGGAAGAAACTCACTTTCTATTTAAATGACTGCTGAGATGCCTCTTTCTGACATCGCTCCAAGAGCCAGAGAATGGAGGAAAGCATCAAGATTCCTGAGAGTCAGCACATTGCCAAACCAGCCTGAAAGTCCCCATGCCATTGTCCAGGGCATGGGCAATGGCTGTGAGCATTTTGCTGCGTGCCAGCCTGTCAGGCAGGGACACCCAATATGTGGCTAAACGAACTGTTATCTTGGCACCAATCTCCACCTCGTCCTTTCACACAGGCAAGCCATATCTCCCAGTGGATCTCTACCCAAGCTCCCTGCCAAGATTTCCTGTGTCCCTTAGTACCATGATCCTTCCCTGGGGGTCACCCAGCATTACAGGATCCAAACCAGCAGCACTTTTTCTCTGCATCTGGCCGCTCCAACAGTCCCTCAGACACTCAAGTTGGCAAAGTTTGTCTTTTTATTAAACCAGTGATAAGTTACAAAGGAGGAAAAAATATAGACTCATATGTACAGCATTTCC